TCTTTCTCTCTCTGTCTCTCTGAAAAATAAATAAATAACATACTTTTAAAAAAGCATATGGCAATTCCTTAAAAAATTAAAAATATGATTACCATATGATCTAGTAATTCCAATTCTGGGCATTTACCCAAAAGAATTGAAATCAAGGACACTAAGACACTATACTTACACACATTGTTTATAGCAGCATTATTCTCAATAGCCAAAAAGGGGAAGAAACCCAAGTGTCCATCAATGGATGAATTGGAAAAAATGCAGTAATACATACAATGGAATATTATCCAGCCTTAAAAAGAGACGAAATTTCAGACATGTGCTACGATAAATTAGGTAGCCAGAAAAAAACAAATACTGTATGATTCCACTCATATGAGGTACCTAGAATCATCAAATTCACAGAGACAGAAAGTAGAATTGTGATCACCAGGGACTGAGCGGAAATGGGAAAGGGAAGTTATTGTTTAATGGGTACAGAGTTTCAGTTTTACAAGATGAAAAAAAATTCTACGGTTGGGTGGAGGTGAGGATTGCACAAACCTTGAGTGTACTTAATACTACTAAACAGTACATTTTTTAAAAAATGCTTAAAGTGGTAAATTTCACAATTTTAAAAAATAAATGATATTTTAAAAGATGAACAAACTATGGCTATATACAATGCACTGAATATCACCATCATAATGGTGCAGGAAAGAAATCAGATGCAAAAGTTTACAAACTATATAATTCCATTTATATATCTTAAAACAAATGGAAAAATGAAACTGAGGTCTGGCTTCCAGTAATGATGAAGTAGCCTGTGAACTAACACTCTCACAGATAACAATGATAAAATCTGGACAAAATATTATATATAGTTATATAGAAATATGTACCTATACATAATACACATGATGTATGTGTATATATTTCCAATAAAACAAGCAGAAGAGGAGGGAAGTCTACCCTTGAATGATGGGAATTGCAACAGCAAGTATTTGCAAACTTGAGTCTTTTTGCCTCAATGCACTTCACAATCTGTGCATGGCCCATGTAGGCGGAAAACCACAGTCTTACTGGTGGTGTCAGAGAGGACATACTTGGGGTTAGCAAAGTAGGTAGAAACTTAGGGGAGAACTTTTGGAAGGGAGAGAGCCACAAAAGGGTAAATTCCAAAATACATATGTAAGTTCCCCTAAATAAGGGCTAGATCTTTAAACTACATATGTGCAGAGCATCCTTTAGGGGCCCAGCCTGAAAGAGGATTTCAGCTGTGCCCACTGTAGGTGAGGTTTTGAGTCTAGCCAAGTTATGTCTGTGCTAGGAAAATAACACTCTTCAAAGGAATAAAACAGAATCCAGGGTCTCTATAACTATCGCTGATAATGTCTAGTATGCAATTTTAAAAAATCATGAGATGTGTGAGGAAGGAGGAAAGTGTATTCTATATACAAGACAAAAAGCAGGCCGTGGAAACTATCCCTAAGATATCTACGATGTTGCAGTTAGCAGACAAGGATTTGAAATCAGCCATTATAAATATGTTGCTGAGGGTAAAGGAAAATAGTCTTATAATTAATGAACAGATGTGGAAACTAAGCAGAGAAATGCAAATTATAAAAAAAAAGTTAAAAAGATGACAAAAGGAAAAGGAATTAACTTTTGAGCTTGTCAAAATTTTAAAATCCAACATTTGGTAGAAAACCTAAATTTTTAGGTCCAAGAAGTTTTTTATTATTTTTTTTAATTCTTTTTTTTCCTAAATTTTATTTATTTATTTATTTGAGAGAGTGAGAATGAAAGATGGAGAGAGAGCACATGAGAGGGGGGAGGGTCAGAGGGAGAAGCAGACTCCCCGCTGAGCAGGGAGCCCGATGTGGGACTCGATCCCGGGACTCCAGGATCATGACCTGAGCCGAAGGCAGTCGCTTAACCAACTGAGCCACCCAGGAGCCCCCAAGAAGTTTTTTAAAAAACTCAAAAGAAAATACAAATAAAACTAAACCTAAGCACATCATAGTCAAACTGCAAAAATCCAAACATGATAAGAAAATCTTGAAAGCAGCCAGGGACGGACACCACACTATGTAGAGGGGATAATAATATGAATGATGGATGATGTATCATTCAAGAACAAGAGACAAATCAACAATGAAATGATATCTTCAAAGTGCAGGGGGAAATGTCAATATGAACACAGGATTCCACATTCCCTCAGCAAAAATCTCCTTCAAAATGAAGCAGAAGCCACAGTGGGATGCCACACACCTATTAGAAATGGCTAAAATAAAAATAAAATTGCAAATAGCAAGTACTTTTGAGGCTCTGGAATGACTAGAACTGGAAATGCAAAATGGTACAGTGTTTGGAAAATAATTGAGCAGTTTTTTGTAAAGTTAAACATTAGATGACCTAGATATTCCACTCCTAGTATTTAATGAAGTAAATTGAAAACTAATGTTAAAAACTTGTGTGTGAATATTTATAGCCACTTTAGTCATAACTGCCAGAAGCTGGAAATAAACCAGGTGTTCTTTAACTGGTGAGCAAATAAGTACACTATGATGCATCCATACAGTAGGATACTCCTTGGCAACAAAAGGAGCAAACTTGATTCACACAAGGACAGGGATGTATCTTAAATGCATTTCTCTAAGTGAAGGTAGTCAGACCCCAAAAGCTACATATTACATGATTCTATTTACATGACATTCTAGTAAAGGAAAAATTATAAGGGTGAAAAACGATCAGTGGTTGCCAAGGATAAGGTGGGGGAGGAGCTGACTACAAAGCGGCAGCACAAGAGACTTTCTGGAGAGATCTTTATTGAATCTACAGTGTTAGCCATTTAGGACATCAGTTACCTTTGTGACGGAGGGAAGGAGAAAGTGATTGTCAGGGAGACTGAGCAAAGCTGGTTCAAGCTCTTGGTCACACAGATGTATTCAATCTGTAATAATTCACTGAGCTTTACATGAAGAGTTTCTGCATCTATTTCAGGATGCAGTTTATATGTCAATTAAATTTTTAAGATTTATTTGAGAGAGAGAGAGCGCGTGCGAGTGCTCACACATGAGCTGGGGGGAAGGGGCAGAGGGAGAAGCAGACTCCCCCCACCGAGCAGGGAGCCTGACCCCACTTGGGCTCCATCCCAGGACCCTGGGATCAGGACCTGAGCAGAAGGCAGCCTCTTAACATCCCTGAGCCACTGAGGCGCGCCTATGTCAATTAAAATTTAAATACTACATATTTGCATAAAAATCCTAACTCAGTGTCTCAGAATAACAGCAGCCTTTTGTTGTGTTTTGTGTTTACGTAAAACACGTTTGCTCATGGCATCATCGGATGGATTTTAATATTCCAAAGTATTACCGTTTGCTCATGGATCATCAGATGGATTATATTCCAAAGTATTACCGTCCTAAACCTTGGGTGAGCTCCTAGGGTCTTTCCATTTTTGCTTCAGTTTGGTAAGTCACGTGGTTTTGATTTTTTATGATGCAGTGTTTTTCCAGAGAAGTCCTCCCTTCCTAAGATGTGTACCAACACCAGGACACCTAGCACGGTTCCTTGCACATTGTATACACAATACTTGGGGCACTGTGTTGACAGGAACAAACCCAGTAGGAGAAGCTTGTTTGTGCACAGGCTAGTGAGCAGGTGATGGCAGATATGACTGAAAAGCTACACTCGGCAGCAAATGTTTTCATACTTTATTTGATCAACTATTTGCAACTAGTTCAGCCAATGATAATTGGTTTAACGAAGTGGTTTTCAGCCTTGGCCACACACTGTGATCACCTGAAGAGCTATTACCTGATGCCCAGGCTCCGCTCCAGGGATTCGGATGTAATTGATCTGTCCTAATTTGGGCTCTGGGAATTTCAAAAGCCCCCCCAGGTGATTTCATATGGAGCCCCGGGTGAGGACCACAGATTTGGGGCCAGGGATGCATCAGCTGTAAGTGATTTCCATGTGTGCTCCAGGGTTTTAGAAAACAGTTCTGCCCTGTTAAAATCAAAGGGCTACTTTGGATTACTTCGCTATCTGTCTAAACTGCAACAGGAGGAAATGTCTTCTTAGCAGATCCATCTTTATGTCACTTGCTTTCAGAATAAGGGGTTGCTTCGGGCACAGCAGTTTGATTTAGTCTGTGTTGAAAATCATTAATAGCCGGGACGCCTAGGTGGCTCAGTCGGTTAAGCGTCTGCCTTCGGCTCAGGTCATGATCTCAGGGTCCTGGGATCGAGTCCCACATCGGGCTGCCTGCTCAGCGAGGAGCCTGCTTCTCCCTCTGCCTGCCACTCCCCCTGCTTGTGCTTCCTCTCTCTCTCCCTACTAAATAAGTAAAATCTTTAAAAATAAAAAAAGAAAATCATTAATAGCCTACAGATACCAAAAAGGGATGAAAAGAATTTGCAAACATGTGGAGCACATTATACATGTTTTCAAATTTCTCCTATGATTAGAAAGGAAAGCTACATTGCTGAAGACTTGATTTCCTAAACAGCCCTCAGCCATTTCCCTAAATTATTTCAAGTGTTTCCAAGATACTCAGTGTTCTCTGAAGGGGATTATTCCCAGGGTGAAGGGTACGAGATGGATGCCGATCTCAAAGGAATTCTGCTTCTACTGCAGAAGCCTCACTAGCAGAACCTCTGATGACGAGGGAAGCTGCAGGGGCAGCATGATCCTCGTGGAGGCGGGGGAGTGCTTTAGTCAGGTGGAGTCGAGACGGGGTCCCAGCCCAGCCATTTAGTTGCCGTGGGGCTTTGGACAAGTTTCTTGACTTGGATGACAGTTACGTAAACCTCTTGCAGGAAAAGGCCTAATACTGACTGCAAAAACACCAGCGATTCTTCATTCCTCCTTGTGGCCCACGCCCTCCTCTGCAATGTGATTTTACCGCTGCTCCCATTCAGAGGCTGACTGTCTTCCTCTGGTCTTACTCGCTCTGGCCAATAACAACGCAGTGGGTATGATGACTGTGCCAGTTTGGGGCGTGGGCCCAAAAGGTCTTAGATGCTTCTGCTTTTTCTTTCAGAATACAGCTGTCTCCAAGCCCATGTGAGCCCGCTGGAGGATGAGATACAATGAGGAAGAGAGCCAAGTTGCCCACTTGACAGCCAGCTCGCCCCCAGAAGCAGAGCCCCCAGCCAACGAGCAGCTAACCACACACGCATGAAGGAGCCCAGCAGAGACCAGACTGGTCCTGCGGAACCCAGCCTAAACTGCTGACCAGCTCAGTCATGAGCTAGGTAAGTACTGGGGTGGTTTGTTACACAATAGCTAACTAGTACATACACCAATCGCAGACACGATGTCAAGATTCAATGATCTATTAATTACAGGTTACTTGGCAAACAGTAGGCAACCTATAGGTGCTGATTTCCTTCTTCCTTTATTGAAAGTTGCATCTCTCAAGTTAAACAGAAATACATGCAGACGTGTATGTATGTGAATGGTGCTTAAGCTCACACAGCTCCCCACACTGCAAGAGGAAGTGGGCGACCAGAGTCTGACTGCGAGGGCCCAGGGCCAGACTGCGAAATAAGTTTGCCTTTTCTCCCTCCGAATCTAAACTCTGGAGGTCAAGGCTGTGGACAGATCTAAAGACATGGAGTTCCCTCCTTTGGGGGCTCCATCTTCCTTCTATTGCTGTCTGACCTCTGGGAAGGGGGAATGGACCCACCCCAAGACACAGTTTGTTGGGAAGCCATGGTCTACTCTAGGAAACTTCCTCTTGGGGCACCGTCTCTTCTCACCTTGGGCTGAGGGGAAGAGGTTGGTGGGGAAGGGGTGATGCCTCTGGAAGGGAAGGGGATGTTTTCAGGCACTTTACTTCCCCAAGGTCAAGAGGAGTCACCTCCCCAAGGTCAAGAGGAACCCTGAGTGCTGCATTTCCAATGTGACAGCCTCTCAACACATGTGAGTGCTCAGCACCTAGAATGTGGCTGGTCCAAGTTATGATGCGCTGAAAGTGCAAAATAGAGTGAATTTCAAAGATTTAATACAAAAAGGTGAAATATTTCATTAATAATTTTATATTGCTTACACATTAAAATAATATCTTAGATATATGAGGTTAAATAAATTCATAGTAATACCATCAATTTCACCTGTTTGTTTTTATTTTCTCTAATGTGAGTGTTGAGATTTAAAACTACAGACGTGGCTCACTTCCTGCTTCTACTGGACATTGCTCTCTTCAAGGACTGCCTCCTTTTCAAAGCGCAGGCTGCCTCCTCAGAAGAGCAGAGGACAGGAAGATTAGGAAATCTGAAATTTTGAAAGAACTTGGCATTTTACTGGTTCCACTTGTGAATAAGGGATTTAATAAGGCTTTAAATTTAAGATTTAATATTTAAAATAAAACGCATCATTTCAACATCGTGTTAGGAATTGGTATCGTTTTGCACGAGGGTTGCAGAAGCAATGCGAAGACATGGTTCTTGGCTCCAGACCTTTACTACTTAGCCTCTCACAGATTGGCTCCAGGTCCTGATATTTCCATTTTACATTAGATCCCCTTCCTCCAGGGTGATTAAGGAATAAGGCTGAAATGAAGTTTGAAGCTCTCACAAACCAAAGGATTTTTCTTTCTGTGGCTTTACCAGCATTTTTAGTTTCTAATATTAGAAATACAAATTGCAGGCCACAGCTGGGAAAAAGAGTATAATGAATTGAGTCTAGAATCACACTACAGCTAATTTTCACAGGCATGTGCATTACCAAAAAGGGACATTACTTCCAACAATTCCAATACGTTCCCAGGACTTAGTCCACACCAAGCATCAGACTGAAAGTCCTCAGTGCCGTCACTGGTATAGAAATGGGACCATGCGCTGCATCCAGACAGGGCTGGGATGCTGTGAAGAGAGCAAATCTTCACAAAAACACTAAATAATAACACTCTCTAGTGAAAGCATGATGGTCGTTAGTTGATGCAAGGCAACTTTCTTTTTTTTTTCTAATAAACAACATCTTCAAGGAGAGAAGCCCAGCCTCCATGCAGTGCTTCCGTGGCTACTCAGGGATATGACCGAATTCAAGAGCAATAAAGGAGATGAAAGCCACATTTTAAATGTAAACAGATGGGTCACTGAAAAATTTTCAGATCCATAAATCCATGTATATGTTAATCATCACAGTATTGTGAGATGCAGGGAAACGATAAAGCATGTGCCACTTATTATATATTCCCCCCACCTTTCTCAAGTTCCTAAGTGCAGATACTCTATGAGAAAAAACAATTCCAATTGACATCAATGTGAACATTTAGTATTATAAAATTAGTTTTTTTCATTTTGTTTAACTTTAAAGCCAAAGATACATAGTTCTACCTCTAACATACTGCATTTTCATAAAAACTCTGAATGTGAAAAGCTTCCTTTCTTCGATTACTAACAATAATTGCAAAATTGCCCATTCTACGAAGAACACTCTTCTAGAACTGTGGGGAAATGGAAAAGAAATAACCAATATTGTTCCCATGACCTGGCAAGTCCCTCAAAGCTGGGGCAGAGAGATCGTTTCTCTGGGGCTTAGCACAGTGTCTGGCAAACAGTAGAAGCTTAATTAAGAGCTTGTTGATTGGATAAATGAATACTTCCAATGCACACGGAGGCCAAATACAGGTAAGTTCCACACCTGGTGCTGTGGACGGATGTGCGGAAGCACACTGACCGCCGCCGGTATACCCATTCCTTCCTGGGATTTAGCCACGCCCTGCTCCCCAGCCCCAGGGCAACGCTTCCCGCTGTGGGAGAACTTGGGGATTTCTCTCTCTCAAAGTTCTTACCTCGTCGCCATCTCCCTTCCCTCTGTCCCAACTGTCCTCCCACCTTTTATTCTGCCTTCCTCTGCTCAGAGCTCTGTTCCTTCTACGTGGAGCAGTTCCCGCCACTACACTTCCCTCCCAGCCCCTTCCCTTTCCTTCCCTCCCCGCCCCTCCTGCTGTACCTCTTCCAGCAGTTCTTGTCTGCTTTTCCTCATAAAATAACTCTTCTTCCACTCTCTGCCTCAGTCACATTCACTGGGGGAATCAAACATTCACCCCACAGTTTAGTATTCCACAGATTTGGAAAAAAAGGAAGTCATATTGTGGAACGAGAACCAGTGCCATCCACTTCTACAGATGCCGGAAGTAGTTTAAGAGCCGTTAGAATCTGCAGAGAAATCGTCATCGTTCTCATTTCCTTCTAATTAAGTTATTTTTCTCCAAGCACCAGCAGTCAAGACAAATTTTTATTGTGCCAGATATAGGAAGGAATGAAGTACCCACCCTGCTGCAACTTGGACGAACCTGGAGAACATTATGCTGAGGGAAAGAAGCCAGTCGCAAGAGTCTGAATATTATAGGATTCCATTTGAATGAACTGTCCAGAAAAGACAAATCTAGAGGGATGGATGAATGGATGCCTAGGGCCAGGGTAGTCAGGTGGGAGCCTAGCAGCTACAGGGAGTTTCTTTTTGATGTGATGAAAAGGATCCAAAATTGACTCGTGCCAGTTACACACATCTGTGCATAGACTAAAAACCATTAAATTATACACTTTAAATGAATGAATTATACAGGACATGAATTGTATCTCAAGAAAGCGGTTTAAAATTTTTACAAATGAGGGGTGCCTGAGTGGCTCAGATGGTTGGGCGTCTGCCTTCGGCTCAGGTCATGATCCCAAGGTCCTGGGATCGAGCCCTGCATCGGGCTCCTGGCTCAGCAGGGAGCCTGCTTCTCCCTCTCCCTCTGCCTCTCTCTCTGTTCATGCTCTCTCTCTCTCTCTCTCTGTGTATCTCTGTGTCTCAAATAAATAAATAAAAAATCTTTAAAAAAAATAAAAAAATAAAATTTTTACAAATGATGAATTGTTTTACACATACAAAATTATATGGTATACAAATAGACATTCTGTATCTGTCACCTGCTTAATAAAATTTTACCACTACCTTTGACGCCCTCTGCATGGCCCTTCCCAAATACAATTCTTTGCCTCCCCTCCTAGAGAGTCATTCATCTGAAATTTTAAACAATTATTATTCCACTTTCATTATAATTTTGCCACATATGTATCTCTAAATAGTATAATGTTTAGCTTTGCAAGTTTCGACTTTCTACAGATGTATGTGCCAAATATACTTGTCCCTTCCCTTTCTCTTTCCACGTTGTATTTTTTGAGAGTCTTTCACATTTTAAAGTTCCTTATTCAGGGGCGCCTGGGTGGCTCAGTTGTTGAGCGTCTGCCCTGGACTCAGGTCATGATCCCCGGGTCCTGGGATGGAGCCCCGCATCGGGCTCCCTGCTCGGCGGGAAGCCTGCTTCTCCCTCTCCCACTCCCCCTGTTTGTGTTCCCTCTCTCGCTGTGTCTCTCTCTGTCAAATAAGTAAATAAAATCTTTAAAAAACTAAAAATAAAGTCTCTTATTCAATTCTATGCATTGTTTACTAATTAGCCTCTAAGTTTAAGATACTAAAACTTACCTCAGAGAGGATTCTTGTGAGATAATTAATATAAAGTGCTTGGAGTAGTGCCTGATTCATTATAGGTGTTCAATATTGTATACGTAATATATACATTATTACATAATTATTGATAATTATATATAAAATTATAGTGATTACTCCTTTCTCTGTTAATGTATATTATTTCATCAACTGCATTATGGATTAATAGTTTTCACATTATAGCAAAATCCGAGGTACACAGAAATGCCTCATTTTAGACATCTGAAGTCCCTGGATAGCTAAGATTTACATTTTTTACATCCCAATTTACTTCTAAACATATGTTTTTTCCCTTTAAACAAAATAAAAGAATGGGCTTTATAAAAAATGTCAACCATTTCCAAATTCTCTTCCAAAATTGTTATTTGAACATATGTGACAGAGCTTCAGTCAGACGGTGTGACTGTTCTGTGTTTTTTTCCCCAGCTTTCTTGAGATATAATTGACATATGACATTGTGTTCTGTTTTTAAAGTACGCCTTCATTTGTACACTTCATTTGTACACTTCCACCGTACACTTGAACACAGTCCACGTAGTTGCCATTGTTAATATGTGCACGTGCTCCACCAAATTCCAACCAGCCAAAGGGAGAGAACAGGAGGCAGTCTGGCTCTGAGCCCTTCCCAGAATGCCAGGGATTCCAGTCCTCGCTTGGGGGGTGGATCACATACCCTTCTTGGGGGCCACTGATGTTTTCCGCTGTGGCTGCTGGATCCAGTTCCCCGGCTGCCTTGTATACACCAACACCCGTCCATTTGTGGCGGATGCCTGGAGCCCTGGGCTGGAAAGGACTGTGAGGTCAAGTTTAGGCTTGGCAGGAGGGGGAGGCCTCTGATTTACTACCGGTGTCTTCAACAGCTACAGTTCTCAGCACCATCTTCCCTGCCACTCCCACCTGTAATGGGGTGATGTTAGGTGATTTCAGGTTAGCACGCGTACCGAAGAACAAACATACCCAGGAGCTTCAGAGTTGGAGAGTTCTCTCCTTTCACCAATATAGATCCAATATATTTGCATGTACTGTTGAATAATACAGGGTCTGAAGTCTGCGGGTCCACTTATCTGTGGATTTTTTACAGTACAGTACTGTAAATGTATTTTCCTTCATTATTTTAATGTTTTTTCCCTAGTTTCTTTTATTGTAAGAATACAGTATATAATACACATACACAAAATGTGTTAATTTATTGTTTATGTTCTCAGTAAGGCTTCTAGTCAACAGTAGGCTATTAGTAATTAAGTTTGGAGGGGGAGTCAAAGGTTAGATATGGGGTGCCTGGGTGGCTCAGTTGGTTAAGCGACTGCCTTCGGCTCAGGTCATGATCCTGGAGTCCCAGGATCGAGTCCCACATGGGGCTCCCTGCTCAGCGGGGGGTCTGCTTCTCCCTTTGACCCTCTTCCCTCTCATGCTCTCTGTCTCTCATTCTCTCTCTCTCAAATAAATAAATAAAATCTTAAAAAAAAAACACAAAAGTTAGATATGGATTTCTGACTGCATGGAGTGGGGGGGGTGTCAGCATCCTAACTTCTGCGTTGTTCAAGGGTCAACTGTATATTTACAGGTACTGTATTTGTGTTTTGAATTTGTACACTGACCCAGGCATTAATTTATGTAAAATAATATTCTAACATTTTCACAGAGTTGAGCATTTTTAAATTCTGTTTCTGTACTTCTAATTTTATTGCATTGTAGCCCCAAAATGCGGTCTAAAATTGTCCTTGTAGATTTACTAAGTATATTTTTGTGTTGTTAGAATATAATCAAAGGTATTAAAAAAAAGGTATTTTTTTTTTGCAAAAAAAGAAAATTTTTATTTATTTTTTGTTGGCTTGGTTTTTTTAAAAGTTATTTTGCTACTATATTCTTTTGGGTATATATATA